CCGCGCCGACCAGATGAAGACGGGTCCAAAGAAGGAGCCGAACCTGAACCCAGCACCAGTGGCCAACCATGACGACAGGAACCCCGAGCCCTGGCACGACCCTTCCGGGAAGGCCCACCACCGGACCCCCAGAGAACCAACAAGTCTGGCATAGGACTGCAAGAAACTGAAGCAGCCTGAATATACTGCGCTATGGCTGAATCCTCAAACAGCGGAGGAAAAAAAGGCGAAGACATCCTAAGAGCCAAAGCACAAGCAGATTCCACGGCGGAGGCAAGCACCGCCAGCCGACACATGAGCCAAGAAGAATAAAACAGAAAAACCGCATCCCTCAAGATCGGCCCGAAAAGCTTCAACAAGGCAGCCGACGAGCGAGCCGCCAAGGCGCCAGAACCAGGAACAGCCCTAAGCACCCCGACAGCCTCCTGGAGCCAATCCGAAGACAGCTCCAGGAGGGAAAAGAAACGCAAGGCCAAAGCCAAAATGCACTGGGTGCACAAGTCCTCAGCCACCAGCGCAGTCGAAAGGGAGGGAACCTGCACATGGAGCTGAACGACGCCAACATCACATGGAAGGGCAGGGGCAAACAAGCACTCATTAAGGTGCTCAAGTTCGCCCCCCAGGAAAACCTGAGCCACCGTTGAAGCCTCCCACCACTCAAGCGTGCGGGAACGGCAGAAGGAGTGCCAACCCTCCAGGGCAAAAACAGGACAGTTCACCAGCCAGAATGACGCTGGGACCTCATAACGGAGTCAGAAAGGGAATTAAGTCCCAAACCTGAACGCTGAGGGATCCATTGCCGAGGCATAATCCGGGTAACGCAGGAGGTTAGCCACAAGGGCTGCCCGAGCGGACCCGTAGAGGCAGGTCCCGAGTGACTCGTGAAAGGGAACCCCAAGCCCCATGGGCAGTACTTACAGGGCACCTAGGGAAGGCAACCCTAGGTGCATGCAGCCCGGATACTCAGGACTAACTCTTGGCTCTTGCATCCCTGGAGAACAGACACCACACACTAAGCACAGCACTGCAAAAACTCTGGAGCCAGAGCACACCACCGTTGCCTCTAGCATCAGCCTAAGAACTAAAGTTGGATAGCTGGCGTGTGACGTCTGGGGCTCCCCCTTCCCCCTCCCAGGAAGGGGGGGAGCTGCGCAGACAGCGGCGCGGCGACGTGTGATGTCATGATCATTTGCACGTTTCGTTTAGCGGAGTTCTATCCACTTGTTCGGCTTTCGGTAGCAATATTTTCACCAAAATAGGGGTTTGTTTTGGGATACTTACCTTTCTGGGTGCCTGACCCAATCGAGCCACCCAAAAAGATAGGCATCCCAAAACAAACCCCTATTCTGGTAAAGAAATTGCTTCTGAGAGTCGAACTAGTGGTCAGAACACCCAAACAAAAACGAGCCAACGAGCATGACGTCATTACGTCGCCGCGCTGCCGTCTGTACAACTCCTTTCTCCCCGGGATGGGGAAGGGGGAGCCCCAGGCCCCGTGTACCGACTACCCAAGACCCCAGTTCTGAGGCTGATGTGCTAGGCAGAGGTCGTGTGCTCTGGCTCCGGACTTAGTTTCAGCTCTATGCATTGTGTGTGGCAGATGTCTTTTAGGATGTGTGCAAGCCAGAAGTATTTCTTCAGTACCCGGGGCTGCATGCACCTAGGGTTCCCTTCCCTAGGTGCCCAGTAAGTACTGTCCTTGGGGCTTGGGGCCACCTTTCACAAGTTCCTTGGGTTCTGCCTCTGCTTGGCCGTTTACCGCTTGGTTTTCAGCCGCCCTTTGTGTGCTCGGGTGTTCTGACTCCCTTGTTCGCCTTAGGGTAGTGGGCAGTTTGCACTAGTAAGGGGAAGGGGCACAGGGTGCTGCGCAGCTTGCTTTTACCATTCGTAGCGGCCGGCTCCGTTCCTCCTTGGTATGCTGTCTTCTTGCGGGGTTTTCTTTTTCCTTTTGTTTACCTGCCTGGTGGGGGGTCTGCCTTGGTTGTTACCCCGTGTGTACTGAGTACTCTTATCAATTCAGGTGGTACCCCTTGCTAGGTCCCCGTGAGTATACACGTCCCGTCCCGGGGGGTTCAGTTATAAGAAAGTTATTTGGTAGACTTGGGCTGGTTAGCAGTACCCTGCCTGGGCACCCCTAAGCGTGAGTTCCGTCTCAGGACCCTGGGAAACCCCACGGGGGCACGATGGATGTGACTCCTGAGTCCCCCCCACCATCGCCTTGTGCGAGTTCGAGGGTTGCTCTGTCCCCTTGTCCAAGGGTGACTCTCATAGTTTTGCCTCCGTCATGCTGCCTGGTGGATCAGTGGCACCTTCGACCAGGAGTCCTTTGAGTTTTGTTGCTTGTTGTAACTCAGTTACCCAGTCCATTGATGACTATGCAGGTACAGGCAGCTCAGGCGTTGCACGTTGGGTTCACGTGGTTGCAATGCGTTAGGTTGTTTGCTCCCCGGAAGCCCGGAGGCTGCCCCGTTTTGGTTATTGTGACGGGGCTTGAGGGTGTTGGTCGCTTCGGTTTTGTTTCCGTCCGCACCTTGTTGTTCGGTCTGGTCCCCCCCTTCCTTCCTGCATCCGGCCCCGACCCATCTGTGGGTTTCAGGGTCGGGGCAAGGTTTCGATGGTCTTGAGACTTGGGTAGTCTCAGAGATTGCTGCTTCCGGGGTTGTGACGGAGGCATTCGAGCCTGTTCCTCCTGCCGTGGCGTATGGGTCTGACCAGTGGGCTCCCTTAGTGTTTTTATGGCTGCCTCGGCTTTTTCTTGTGAGGCCGGGGCTTTGGGGGGACTGCTCAGCCCGGCGTCCTGGTGTGGAGGTGGCGTCCTCCTCCTGTGGTTGCGGAGGAGCTGACTTGGGGGACCTTGGGCCCCGTTGGACCCCGCAGGGGTTTTTCCACCCTCTGAGTAGGGCTTGCGGTTACGGGGAGTGGGGTTTTCCTTCTCCCTTCTGCATACGAGTTGTTGGGAGTCGACCCCTCCACAGGTTTGGTTCCATCCTGCCGGTGGGTATTTTTCTCTGTTTTCTCACCTTTCTCTGGGACATGTATTATTCATGTCGCGGTCATGTTCTCCTCATATCGGGGTCCTGCATGACTATTGGTCTCGAGCGCGACTGTGCCCATATGAGCCTTCGTGATTTTGTGCTTGCTTATGCAAGATCTCGAAAGTTCAGGAAGGTTTTCGATACTTCCAGTATTATTGGAATGTCTGTTGTCTTCTGGTGAGGCTTAACTCCAGTCCTATATAGGACTCGTTGGTCCTCTTCTATGCTTCTTGATTTTGGTAGTTTATTTAATTTTTTATTGTAACATATTCTCTCTGTGCTCTTTCTTGTTCACCTCTGGCCTGCTCATGCGCCGCTTGAGCCGTCCTGGTCCTTAGATTGGGTGCTCCCTACTCTTCTCCTCGGTTTGTTGGGGCCCTTTCGGTTTTGGAATGTTTCCAAGGCTCTTTTCTTGTTGGCATTAGCTTTTGGGGGTCGGGTCGGTGAGTTTTGTGCTTTCCTCCGGCGCAGGGATTTCTGCTCTTTGGGTCCTTTGCATTCAGTTGTTTGCTTACTGCTGTCTCCTGTTTTTTGGCAAAGACTGTGGCGGCTGCTTTCCCGAGGGGTCCTTGGGTTGTTGATGCTTGGTTGGTTTGGCTGGGGGTGCATAATGTGCTATGTTCGGTTGTGGCTCTTTGCTGTTTTTTGCATGCCATGACTGTCGTGACTGGGGTCGCTCTTTGGGTTGCTCTGGTTTCCCTTCTTCCCTGTTCCGAGGTGTGGTTCTCTCCGGTCATCCGCGGGGGTGGTTTGGTCCAGCCAGCCTGCGGTCTATCCCCGTGGCCACGACGTTCGTCAGTTGGCTCTGCATTCCTTCATTGATGTCCCTGGGCCTCATCAAGCCTGTGTGCCCTTGGAATGGCGGTTGCAGCCTGTAGTCTCGGCTTCCCGTTGGGGAGCGAACAACGACCGCCTCCCGGGTTAGTCTCTCTTGTTTTTGTCTTTTGGTAGGTAGCTCTAGGGAGCCGATGGGGCTCCCCCAGGAAACCAGCACTGAATATAATGAAACGCCATTTTCTGGGTCAGACCCGGAGGCTCCCCGGCAACCTTCCCTCCCTCCAGTCGGTAGTTTTTCGCATGTTTTGATATCCAGCCTCAGAACAGGGGTCTTGGGTAACCGGCTCGAGGAGTCTGGGGCTCCTCCTTCCCCCTCCCGGGGAGAAAGAAGCTGCGTAGACGGTGGTGCGGCGACGTAATGACGTCGTGCTCATTAGCTTGTTTTTGTTTGGGGGTTCTGTTCACTAGTTCGGCTCTCAGAAGCAATTTCATAACCAGAATAGGGGTTTGTTTTGGGACGCCTACCTTTCTGGGTGCCTGACCTGGTCGATGGCAGACATAGAATGCTTCCAACCACACGAGGGTTTCTATAGGCCAATGCTCCTCGTGCCTCTGTGAGGGGGGACAGGTTCTGGCTCGTGGTCCCCCGGTAGGCCCAAAGAACTCCATATACATGACTGATGCCATAGTCTGACATTAGCAATATCAGCCTGGATAGCTCCGGGAAGCCGACGGGGCTCCCCCCAGAAAATTACTTTTGGATCAAGACATAGCATACCGAATACAAGTACAGTCCCCCAACTTGAAACTGGGTGGTATAATACAGCTGCTCAAAGTTTGAAGGAGACATATAGTAGTTATACAAGTACTAAGTACAAATGCAGAAACAAAATAATCAATAAACCTGTTGATAACAATACCACATATCAGAAGATGGAGAAACGTCATCGTTTCTCCATCTTTTGATGTGTGGTTTGGTCATCATACAGTATCTTCAACCACATTATTGTGACATTGTAAAAATAAACCTGTTGTCAGAAAACAACATCATGTGTTGTGTGCACGCTGCATACAAGCTCTTGTGTGCAGCACACTCTTGCACATGATGCTAGAGGAGTATTCTGAAACAACAGGTTAGAGGTTAACACAATGACTGTGAAGAAATAACCCTTTACACAAGACACTTACCTTCAAATATGGAATAAATCCCACCATACGCTGCCACAGGGAGATTAAGTAGTGAACACTGTTTGGGCATGATTTCCACAATTTTTTAAAAGTGTGAATAGTGAATTTTGCTATCAGCTGTATGGCATCTGGATAGTGTTCAACCATTACTAACTCACTCAATTGGTAGTTGTTTTTCAGTTGCAGTAATAACCTTGAAAATTCACTGTGGTTCGATGGGTCAGTCAGGCTCTAAAATAGACAATTAAAACAGTGATACAACAATTATCAAACAAGCCAATATATATCACATATGCTTCTTTAATTTGACATGATATTTATATGAAAAAGAGATATATTCTAGAGCTCATTCTTTTATCACATTACATAGAACAGAGAGGCAAAAGATATTCCAATTAGGCTACTGTAAAATCTCAAAATTTCATTGTCATCTTTTAAGAAACAAATATCCAAAATCCATTACATATTAAAAGTCGAGATAAGAAGGTAATGATAACTGTGTCACTATTAGGACTTCTAGTATGCCAAAAAATAATAAATCAGTTTAAACTAACCTGTGGATTTTTAATTATGTTTCTAATACCATTGACAAGTGTAGTTAGAAACTTTGCTCTTTCAGCATTTCCAAGCAGAGTTCGCCTCACCGAGGTTATTTGCACTAAGCATGACAAAGTCTGAAATGAAAAATGACATGTTTCAAATGTAGTAAAACAAAAACCCAACATTGAATATAATTAAATGCAAATTTCTAGAGGAGCTCTGGTGGCTCCCTGAAACTGTCTTCCCGAGATTGAACCAGTGAAGAGTGGGGTGCCATAAGCACAATCACAGAACACTGTATAAACATCAGACGTCCACAGTTGTTCAACATCCTCCCAGCGAGCATAAGAAATATTGCTGGAACAACCATGGACATCTTCAAGAGAAAACTAGATAGTTTTCTTCAAGAAGTGCCAGACCAGCCGGGCTATGGTGGATATGCGGGTCTGCGGGACGCTCTAAACAACAGCCTGTTGGATCAAGCACTCACAAGTCAAGCCTGGCTTCAGGCCATGCTTGGTGAGTAGAAGAACTTCCAGGGGCCAGATTCACAAAGCAGTTACGCACGTACTGTACTTAGGAACGTTTTTCTTCTTAGCATCTTCGAAACGGCTACGTCGAGATTTGGGAAGGCATTTAAGTATGGAAAATCTTCGTAAGTAAACACCATCACGCCAAGAGAGCTCTGGACCACTCATAGCTTTACGTAAACTGGATATAGCTCAATTTTTCTCTTCTTCACAAACCAGAGGATTGATTTTATTATAAACAAACATTTTTGCTGGTGAGTCTTATCAAGGAGGAGTCCTTCATGTTAACAATATATGCATTCTCTGCTTGAAACTTGTAGTAAAAATGTCTTTTCTGGGGGAAGCCCCGTCGGTTCCCTGGAGCTATCTAGGTTGAATGGATATGTATATCTTTCTGGCATCAGTCAATGCATGGAGTTCTTGCCTACCGGGGAATATGAGCCATAACCTGGCCCCCCTCTAGAGAGCCACGAGTAGCAATGGCCTATAGAGACCCTCCTGTGGTTGGGAGCATTCTGTTTGCCATCGACCGGGACAGGAACCCAGAAAGGTAGGCGCCCCAAAACGAACCCCTATTCTGGTAAAACTAGCAAATTAAAATAAATAAATTTTTTATTCAGGAACTATTGCGACCGAAGGTCAAACAGGTGGATAGAACTCCCCAAACGAAAATTAGCAAACTAGTATGACATCATCATGTCGCCACGCCGCTGTCTGCACATCCCCCATCCCTTCCCGGGGAGGGGGAAGGGGAAGCTGAAGACCACCCGCCGGCGACCCAACCTTCAGTTCTTGGCTGATGGAAGTCTGGTGCAGTCGTGCCTCTGGCTCCGGTTTTTGTTTCAGTTCTGTGCCTTGTCGTGTGGGCTGTCTCTACATGTAGTGCATGAGCCAGGAATGATATTTCACAGTACTAGGGCTGCATGCGCCTAGGGTCACCTTCCCTAAGTGCCCTTTTAAGTACTGCCCTTGGGGCCTCCTTCCACAAGTCAACTCAGGATCTACCTCCGCTGTGCCATTTACTGCTCGGAAAATAGCGCTGCCCTTGGGGTCAGCTGGGGTTTTTCTTACCCCTTATTTGTCTCTGGGTTGGGGTAGTTTTCGTCACTGGTAGGGGCGCGAGGTACTGCACAGCTAGTTTTCACCAATGACAGCGGCCGGCTGTATTCCGCCTGAGTACTGTCAGGGTTTTACTCTCGGGTGAGCAACAGTATACTCAAGGTCACTCACCGTAGCCCTGCGGGTCTTCACTCTATCCTCGCAGCGCCACTGTACGCCAGGAGAGTATCCCAGTCAATCCCAACCGGCCTCTGATCGAGAAGGAGTGGGAACACAACTTGTTCACTTAACTGTTGTATGCCCGCCATGTCATAGGGCTCTACTACTAACCACAAGGTCGCCAACTGGTGTTTTCGGTGTCCAGTAACACGTCAGTGGTTTTGTTGAATTGTGGTAACAGTGGCAAGGATACACTCAATAGATCTGATATCAGGCAGGTATTTGTTGACCAGACCACACACTAGAAATTGAAGGGACGACGACGTTTCGGTCCGTCCTGGACCATTCTCAAGTCGATTGTCGACTTGAGAATGGTCCAGGACGGACCGAAACGTCGTCGTCCCTTCAATTTCTAGTGTGTGGTCTGGTCAACATACTTCAGCCACGTTATTGTGACTCATCGCAGGCAGGTATTTGCTTCTATCACTCTCTGCTTTCAGGTATCACATAGCCACAAGAAATATGGAGGGGATGATATAAACACCAATGTATTTTGTATTTTACTTAAAACTCATTCAAAGACATCACAAGATTTTATCAAAAAGCAAACAGCTGTTTCAGGCGGGAGTCGTTCATTCCCACATAAAATATGAACTCACTAAGCTGGCAACACTCCCCCTCTCGTCAATGTCAAAATCAGCTGGGCGACTACCCCTCGCGCGAATGTTACTTTATCTGTTTGCTTGGCGTGACGCGCCAATTTCTTTAAGCTCTCAAAGATCACTAGAAGTTCGAACACACAATATTTGCGACAATAGCACGTAAATACTTCGCTACACTGATCTTGGGCTCAATCAAACATTTCTATATTAAATGTGACAATAATTCACTGTCATGGTATTACACACTGCCCTTCGTTTAATGATAACTTACGAAGTATATATCACTGGAGTTCTCAGTAATTCTTTCCGTGGGCGATAACACAATTAATCACTGCACACATGAATGATTATTCAATACACGAGCATAGACATATATATATATATATATATATATATATATATATATATATATATATATATATATATATATATATATATATATATATATATATATATATAGATGAGTCAGACATCAATAATGGTAATAACATAGTTACTGGGCACATAGCCTAACTCCCAACACTGGCATAATTATATATATATTTTCTCTCACTATATGATCACATTAAAGTCTCATGAAAGACATTCTCAACACAGTAAATTCATCAATTACTCCGGGTGCCTGCACACACCACTAATAATCGTAAATATCGTGAGTACTCTTTATAGTACCACTCTGCACACTGGTGCCTTACTTTGAAATAGGTGAGCCTTGCTCACGACATACAAAATACTCAGGCTAAATAATATAGCTGACTAAAGGGGAATTGGGAGGGAAACTAGAATCACCTACTTCCACCTATCCTCCGATGAGAGCTGAGTTGTAGCTCCTGGTCCTGGCTCCTGCCTCGTGTAGGGAACGCCCCCACACACACTCTGTTGTGTCCTCCAGGAACTCAATCAATGTCCCACCGTAAGCGCGTCGTCTCCGTGCCTTTTCCCTGCAGGTCCGTGCTCCTCCTCGACTTCTTGTAGGGTTGGAGTCGGTCTCCCGGCCGTCAACTTCTCCCCCCAGCTACGGCTGCCCGCCTACGTCTCGGCTGCAGTCGTTCGGATTCCCGAATAGTTTCCTTCTTCCTCTGCTTCCCAGTGGCTTGGTTCAGCCACTACGCCGTCACAAACGGGTGAACTGCCTCAGACGTCGCATACGTCACTGCACAGACTTCACTTCTTCTTGCACAGTACCTGTCCTGGAGCACTTGTTACTCAATATCCCGTCGATTCCCTCTCTGGTCCAACACATGAACGAAGGAAGACCTCACAGAGTACTGGCAGACTTCGGGTGACGCGTGAAATCCACGGGAGCGGGAAATAACTGTCAAACTGACAGGACCAATCTTCGCACGTCCAATCACCTTGACGTGTCGTGTCAGACTGATTCCCTCCGGAGGATTGGCCGATCCACTACGTCATCACTGTGGAGCTATCAGCCGTCGCATACGTCGCTGCCTAGACTCCACTCTTGCACAACACCTGTTCCTGGAGCACTTGTTGCTCAATATCCCGTCAATTCCTTCTTCGGTTCAACACATGAACGAAGGAAGACCCCACAGGTGTTGGCAGACCACGGGTGATGCGTAAATCCTCCGGAGTCGGGGTAAACTGTCCAACTGACAGGACCCCCCCCCCCCCAGCGCACGTCCGACCTCCTTGACGTGCTGTCTTAGACTGATGGCGCCAGCGCGGCGCGATGACCGGACCCCCTTTCCTTCGTGACGTCATATTCGCCACGGGAGGTTTTCATTGGCTCTCTGTGCCACGTCGCTGTTGGTGACCAACCTGGAGTCACTGACGTCACAGTTTTGGCGGGAAAACAGAAGAGCCAGCGCCATATTGGCTTCCTAAAGGGCCTAAACCACAGCCCAAAATACTCTTCTTGTATAAATTTCTCGGCACTCCGAGAACACTACATTCCCCTACATATACCAAACTGATGCCTGCGACGTAGAGAACGCTCGGGTAAAGTGGACATGACTCTTACTGCAGGCGTGGGAGAAATATAAGGGGGGGAACACCGTCACAGTACGTTGTCCTCTTGCGGGGTTTTTCTTTTGTTTTTGTTTTCTGCCTGGTTGTGAGGTCTGCCTTTGTGGTCCCCCATCGCTGTTCTTGGGGTATATATATCTGTATTTCTGTGTTTGGTGGTCCTCCCTGCTTGGCCCCCGTGTGTGGACACATCCCGGGGGTTCAGTTTTAGCAGTTTGTTTGGTAGACTTGGGCGCCAGTTCGAAGTTTGAACCCTGCCTCGGCTTCCCTTAGCGTGTAACCATGTCTAACCCCTTAACTGCATTGCCTCCAAATATGACACCCCTGCAGTGCACAGGAAATAAATTATCTGGAAAAAATTATTTTTTCTTTTTAAAGTGTCAGAAACCCTTCCCTCAGCATGGGTATGTAGAAAAAAAATTGAAATTGTACTTACTTTGGCTGCTATGGGGTCCGTAAGTTGGGGCGTGACTCATCATTCCCTGTTCGCCCGTGACGTACGCTCCCGGGGCCAGTAGGGTGCTCGGGGCGGGGCATGCGAGTTGCCGCGAATATATTTTCGTTCATTTTTTCCACACAGTTCCAAATACATTTTGTTTGTTTTTACGTGCTAATCCTATGTATAGTGAACACGTACACTATATTATGGCAGTAAAACATCCGTACTGTCCGAAGACACTGTGTTACGTGCATGACACTTGTGTACACATATGCAGCACATATTTACTATGTATCATG